ATCTCTTTTTGATCTTTGATCTCCCCCCGAAGCTCCAGATAATCTTAACAATATGAGTGGTGTCCTTAAAACTTGGGAATAGAGGAGCTTTCTTCAGATCTGCAGATAATCTGATTTTCTTCTGTTGAAAAAGTGCTCTTGTTGGAAAACAACGGCATCCTGTGGCTCAAAACGTAAGTGCAATCGCGATTGTACAACTTCACTTACCTTGCTTCTTTCAGAATTCCTTCACATCTGTCCATGCTTTTATTTATAGACTTTTAATTTGTTCACATTTCATGTAGTCAGTAGTTAAGGTTGTTTTACCTTAAAATTACAATCCCAAGAACAGTTTCATCTTCTATATAGATATCTAAAAGAATGTGCTACTGAACAAACTCTACTATCACGCATAAGAATATGAAAAATATATTTGTATCATATTAGCAATATGATTTTTTAAAGATTCTTAAGGAATTTAACATTTTGGAATGGCCTGTTATAAAAATTTATTCCTGGTAGGATAATTGTGACTTGCTTAATCCTTTTACTATGCTAAATTACCCTGATTATTTGGTTCAATTGTTTAAAGAGTAACTCAAAATGTAGATTTTCTAAATTACCATCTCAACATAATGGAATTTCAAACCAATGCTAACAAGCTAACTATTTTATCCAAATATTTCTTTGTATTATGTTAATGAAATCACCCAGCAAGTTTCTAGGAAACTTGAAGTGTATTTGTGAGGCTATCTCATTCTAAAGCTTCTGTGCAATCACTGTATCTGCTCAGAGTCAATGCTATTTTCCATCCTACTGGACAATTTTCATGTGGATTATACTTACTTGGCAAGATAATCCTTTTCATCCAAAATAATAAGTCAGGAATTCACATTGTATTTATCTGTTTACACTTATTTTATCATTGATTTGAAGAGACTAAAATATAAAGATCATTCTAAGTCTCATTTACTCAATATTAAATTTCTTGTTTTAATCTGAAATACTAAAATACATTGAAGTTTACATAAACACTTTCATAGGTTGCAATAAAGTTTATCAGTATTGTCTTATAGAAGAAAATGTTTTAATCATTCTCAAGGCTGTATGGAACCAATTAGTCAACATCTGAATCCTGACAGTAAAATAAAACCACTGAAAAAAACACAAATTTCCCCACCAAAAAATTATTGTAAATGGATACACAAAGGAATCAAGTTTTAAAAGTGAACTTCTTTTTCATTTGAACACATTTTAAAACAGTGACTAAATGATCATACCAAATATGTATAGTTCTAATTACTTCCAATTATTCTGATGGTTAAAGACACAAATCCTAAACTAATACATTTCATTTTTTAAAAAGCCATGAAGTTGCCAGGCGTGGTGGAGCATGCCTTTAATCCCAGAACTCAGGAGGCAGAGGCTGAGTTCAAGGCCAGCCTGGTCTACATAGTGAGTTCCAGGATAGCTAGGGCTACAGGGAGACCCTGTCCCAAAAAGACCAAAAAAAAAAAAAGCCATGAAGTTTTCAATCTATTGAGCTGATTAAATTTGGAAATAGAAGATGATTTTAAAAACCATTTAATCTCCTTAGGTTTTCTGATTGAAATGATCTTTAGAAATAACTCCAGCCTAAAATAAAGGTTCACTCCAATTTTGATTTGAAGGATTGCTTCACCAATTTAAGTACATATAAAATGCAACTTGTAGATTTGAGAGAGAGAGAGAGAGAGAGAGAGAGAGAGAGAGAGAGAGAACTGCATAGGGGACCATGAGAGGGGAAGAAGAGATTTTAAGGGAGGTGGAAAATACAGTAATGGAATGCACGTGATAAAGCTAGGCTGGAGAGAAGGCTCAGTGGTCAAAAGCATGAGCTACTCTTGCAGAGGACCCCAGTTCAGTTCCAGCTCAGTTTCCAGCACCCACATGGTAACTAACAACCATCTGTAACTGCAGTTCCAGGGGAATTACAGAAGACGCTCTCTTCTGGTCTCTGTGGTATCACACACATGTGGTGCACCTACATGCACACAGACAAAACTCTCATACACATAAAAATAGTAAATAGCCAGGTGTGGTGGCTCACGCCTTTAGTCCCAGCCCTCGGGAGGCAGAGGCAGGCGAATCTCTGTGAGTTCAAGGCCAGCCTGGTCTACATAGTGAGTTCCAGGCCAGCTAGAGTTATAGGGAGACCCTGTCTCAAAAAGACCAAAAAAATAGTAAATAAAGAAATACTTTCTAAAAGAAAGAAAGTGGAAGTGCAGGCAAACCAGGGATGGAAGGGGAATCCACCAGAAAGAGGGAAGGGAAAGAATGAGAACAAAGACTAATAACACATATGTATGAAGATGCCATTATGAAGCCCATTACATTGAATGCCAACCCAAAATTAATTTAAAAATTAAAGATGCAATTTGAAATTTTTTGGTACAGCTGATAATTGTAGCATAACAATAAAACTATGTGTTAATAACTCACCAAGCCAGGGTTGGTGTGGTATGTACCTCCCGAATCCCTGCACTCAAGAGGCAGAAGAAGGAAGATTGAAAACTCAAGACCATCTCTATTACCCAGTGAGACCATGTCAGCTAGAGAGGTGGGGGGAAAAGAGAGAGAGAGAGAGAGAGAGAGAGAGAGAGAGAGAGAGAAGAGTGAAGAGAAGAGAAAAACAGAGAGAAAGAAATGAGAAATAATTAAAAGACACAATTTTGAGTTTCATAAGGGGAAATCCTAGCAGTACTTAAGAGAAAAGGAAAAAATTCTGCTATATATTATTTTAATTAAGTTACTAACTGAATCTCTTTTGGGTACATATTCTAAAGATCTTGCTATGAATTTAATCATAGATGGCCTTGTAAAAACTTTAACACAAAAAATTATGAATGAAAAAAATAATAATAAAGATACAGCTGAAAAATACACAATAACCCAGTACATTTATAGCTATTAGAAAGGATAAGTAATTATGAAAGCAAAGACATCCAGTGTTACACATGCACACATATGTATAAGCAGGAGAGATTCCCTTTTAAAGTTGGAGGCTAAGCCAAGTGTAGTGAATCTTGCCTGTAATCTCAACACTTGAGAGACTAAGGCATGAAGAGTGGTCTGAGTCCGAGGCCAGCTATGTTGAGATCCTATCTCAAAATAAAATAAAGTAAAAATTTTAAGATCAAATCAGAAGGTTAAAATACCCTAAAGGTTAAAACACCTCTTATAATTTATATTACAATAATTGAAATTGTATTAATTCAAATTAGTATTGCTGGAGACATTAATATACTGCAGAACTGAGACTTTATGATCAATGTGAGCTCTAAGTAAAAAGAGATAATTTGGCATGATATCAGATATTCAGGAGTAGGAATGGGGCTTACCTCAGTGGTACAGCATGTATGGCATGTGCTAGGCCCTGGGTTCATTCCCCATCACTAGAAAGTACATAAGATATTCAGGGAACTTTTCCAACTATCTGAAGAGTATAAAGCATATATTCACTAAGTGTATGTGATACAGCAGCAAATACATTTTAAGTTAGCATGATTTTGTCATCAATAACCTCTAAGATTTGGCATAGAGACCAGTGTAGGAAGAAGTAATGTTGAGAAACAGCGTACTTAAATTCTTCCCATTGTTTTTTGTGTTATTGAACTGAAGACAAACTTTTGTTGGAAGCTGGTTATGAAACACAGTTTAATAGCAAGTTCATAGTGAATGGGAAAGAACAAGTAATTTCTAAGAACAAAAATTGAAATTACAACAATTAGTAACATTGCTAACACTGGAATTAATAAAATAAAAATGAAATCATAGGTATCAGAAAACAACGAACTTCAATAAAGCATAGTGGATAGGGTAGTTCTGTACCCATGTGACCTGAGTAGCTTGTGTATCTGAGTATATATAGTCCAATGCAGCCCCGTTGAAGATGGCAAAAGAAGCTATTAAACTAAATAGCACACATCTGAGTAATAGAAAATATTCTAAGAATATAATTCACGTTTCTTATTTTAATATTACTTTGGACTAAGTAAACTTTCTTGATATTCTGAAAATTAAAAAATATCTTCAGCAATGCTTGCCTGGCATGCAGAAGACATTTGGTTTGAACAAAAGTGTTGCAAGAAAGATAAAGTTGAAAAAATAATGTTCAAATGCTTTCCATTCACAGTCATAACACCCTCCTCAAAGTAAATGAGCTAATAGCTGAACATCATAAGCTCCTTAGAATAGTCTGATAAATGAGGCCATTTTGAAGGCCTGCTGAATAAATTATGTCAATAACAATGAAACACACTTTTTCTTCTAAAAGAAAATAACATTGACAGGACTATTACTACTGAAACAAAAGAGATCATCAAATAAGAAATTTTTGCCATTGAACTGCCAGTCTAGTTGGCTGACTGCCAAGAAACAAGTGCAATTGCTGACAGCGAAGATCTAAAATCCCATTTAAGTTGTGGTGTACTATGTTTATTCTATATAAGAGGAGAAAAAAACATTTTCACCAAAAAAGGTACTGATCACTGCAATTTTGTTAATGTAATTGAGTCAAATAAAAAATTTAACTTGGAAGTGAAAAACATATTAAAAGCCTGACCTTAAAAACATTTGTAACATTGGGTATGAAAATAAATAATAATGATTGCACTATAAATACAGTGATTCTATTGGGGAAAGCTTATGTGTCCAGGATAATTATATTAAAATTTCATCTGGGAGTAGTGGCTCAAACCTTTAATACAAGCACTGGGAGGCAGGAGCAGGTGGATTTCTGTGAGTTCGAGGCTAGAGTTACAAAGCTAGACTCTATCTCAAAAAAAAAAATTAAGATATCAAGGCAAAGGTGTACACACTACCTAGACCAACAACATACAGTGAACTCCTGGAATAAACTACATTACAAAACATAATAGTATCCAGAAAAAAATGTACGTCTGGGACACTTATCTGGCAAACGGAAGGTCAGAAAATATATTTCAACAAGTAAAATATGAAAATAAAAAGTAATAGCCCACCTTCCTGGATACATCTCCTCCAGTAGAATGGTCTTCCACTCCCACATCTGCTACTGGGCAGGGTGTAAGGTTTGGGCTGAAGGCCATGAGGTCGGTTTTGGGTGGGCCCTCACCCTCCCCAGAGCACACCCTCTGCCTTCTCTGCTGTGAGTAGGACCAACTCCCCACCGCGCCGGAGCACACCCGCATAGACTTCCCAGACGCGCATGCGCCCTCCATGGGCGCCTTGGAGCAGCGCAAGGAGATGTACAGCAGCAGCGTGAGCACCAGCAGGCTGGACACCACGCAGATGGCGATAATCAGGTACACGTTGACATCCACCAGCCGCCCCTCCCGGCCGGCAGCATCTACCAACGCCCTGGAGGAGGCTTTTTGCTCTTGACTGGGCTCAACCAGAGAAACCAACACAGTGGCGGTAGTTGTCAAAGCTGGCTCTCCATGGTCCTTCACCAGCACCAACAGACGCTGGTGTGGTGCATCCGTCTCGTCTAGGGCGCGCGTCGTGCTGATCTCACCAGTGTACAGACCCATGCGGAAAGGGCTGCTGGCGCTATCCACAGCTGACTGCAGTTCATAGGAGAGCCAGGCATTGTAACCAGAGTCTGCATCCACCGCGCACACCTTAGTAACCATATGTCCTGAACCAACTGACCAGGATATCAGCTCGCTCACCACTCCACCAGCTCCGACGGCCCTAAGTGGCAACAGCTCCGGAGCATTGTCGTTCTCATCCAGCACGAACACCTGCAGAGTCACATTGCTGGCCAGGGCAGGCACACCAGCATCCCGCGCGCTCACCTGGAACTGCAGCAGCTCCAGCTCCTCATGGTCCAGAGGCTGCAGCGCATACACCTTGCCGCTCTCCGCGTGCACAGACACGTAGCTCGACAGCGCGCGCTCGCCCACCCGCCGCTCCACCAGCGAGTAGGACACCAGCGCGTTCTCCTGCGCGTCCGCGTCCACCGCCGACACCGTGAAGATGTGGGCGCCCGGCGGGTTGTTCTCCTTCACGAACACCGTGTATTCGGGCTGCGCGAACACAGGCGCGTTGTCGTTCACGTCAGCCACCTCCACGGACACGCTGACCGTGGCCCACAGCGAAGGCGAGCCTCCGTCCCTCGCAGTGACCACCACCTTATAGTCAGCTTTGGTCTCGCGGTCCAGGGCGCTGTCCAGCACTAGAGAATAGTAATTCTTAAAGGTGGCTATTAGAGTGAAGGGGACATGAGTCTTCAGGGAGCAGGTCACTTCACCATTGGCTCCAAAGTCTTGATCTGACACACTGATCAGGGCGATGACAGTGCCCAAAGAAGCATCTTCTTTCACCGGGAGAGACAAAGAAGTAACCACTATCTCTGGTGAATTATCATTTTCATCCAAGATTTCCACTAGGACAGTACAGTGACCAACCATGGGTGGATTTCCTTTATCTGTAGCATCTACATGAATTGCATAATTGCTTCTATCTTCAAAGTCAATAGCATCATTTACTTTAATTTCTCCAGTTTTTTCGTTTATTAAAAATTTCCTTCTTATGTCTAATGGGACTAAAGAGCTAAATGAATACTCCATTTCCTGGTTTATTCCTTCATCTGCGTCTGATGCGTTCAGCCGTATTACTAGCGTTTGGTTGGCTTGATTTTCAGACATCTTCACTTCATAAACAGATCTGTCAAATACAGGAGCATTATCATTAGCATCCAACACCAGGATGAACAGAAAAACAGATCCGGTAAATTCAGGTTTGCCTCCGTCGGCCGCAGTCAGCAACAACTTTAACTGTGGATTTTCTTCACGATCTATCAGTTTTCTAAGAATGAGCTCTGGGAATTTGCCTTTTTCTTTTCTGCTTATAGTATCAAGAATGAAAAACTCATTTGAACTGAGTTTGTAAGTAAGCATTGCATTCTCTCCAACATCTGCATCAGACGCGCCTTCTACTGGAAATCTAGAGTCAAGTAGTCTAGATTCAGGGACCAAGATCTTTTGTTCTGTTACAGAGAACACCGGTGGGTTGTCGTTAATGTCCCTCACCTCCACCTCCACATGGAAAACCTGCAGCGGCCTGTCCACGATCACCTCCAGGTGGATGCTACACTCTGCGCTCTGCCGGCACAGCTCCTCCCGGTCGATCCGAGAATTCACAAACAAAATGCCATTCTGCAGATTTACCTCCAGAAGGTCCCCGCGGTCCTTGGACACCACCCTGAACAGGCGGGGCACCAGCTCGGCCAGCTCCAGCCCCAGGTCCTGCGCGATGCGGCCCACGAAGGTGCCGTGCTTGGCCTCCTCCGGGATGGAGTAGTGCAGCTGGCCGCTCCCTGCCTGCCAGGATGTGAATAACAGAATCCAGAGCAGGAGACACCAGGCTCCATAGTCCCCCGATTTAGAGAGAAGCACTGTACCTTTCTCTCGTTTTATAAATCCATAAATTCGCCATTTAGAACATACACAAGTTCTAATATCTCCTGGTCTGTTTGCTGGTTTCATTTTTTTTTTTTCATTGAAATGGCTGAGATCTCCAAATGTAGCTAGCTAGTCCTTGAGAACAAATGGGCTTTGTTTTAAAGAACTGCGTATTTTCTGGACAACAGCGGCATCCAGTGGATAACTGTGAGTATGATTCTGTAAGCACAACTTTTGCTTTTATGGATTATTATCCCTATAAATGCTCAATGTTTCCTATTACACCTCCTTGTCATATAGTAACATTAATTTTGACCCAGAGAGAAACTTTTTCTTTGTTATTGGCCAAATTTCAAAAGGATGTTAATAGTCTCAAAATTATACACGGGCTGATATTTTCTTGTATGATAAGTGTATGTACCTTCAAGTTATAAAACTCAGTTCAATTTCCTTTAGCATTATTTCAAGATTAACTAAAATTTATTTTGAAATCAATTTGAAGATGCCATATCAGTTGTTTCTGAGACGTTTGTGATTTCAATGTCAACTCTACAAATATAGAGAGATTACCAGCTTCAGTATCAATTTTTTTCTGTTTAGTTTCTTGTAAACATTCTTAGTAACAATGCGACTTTGTTTTCCCAACCATGTAACCTCTCCATGTTTCACTTTCCATTTTCATGATACTGTTATCATAATACTATGGTGTTTGTATATACTATAGCAATTAAGTGCCTAGAATACGTCTTTAAGATATTTCATAAATGAGAGTTAGTCTCAAGCCCCAATTTAAGCACATTTGTTTTTATTAAGCTTAAAAGTCCAGCTCTTCAGAAAAATTATTTCTTATGAAATAGTGTCACTGTCCTGTAGCTACATTATCATTACTACAGAGGCTGAAAGTGCTGGTTCTTGTCTTAAGAAAATGGAAATCAGTTGCATATGAAGAAGTTTCATTTTGCAATGTCTTACATTGACAAAATAATCATTATTCTGTAAAATGTAACTCACAAATTTATGAAAACTTCTTTTGGAATTTACTACTATCAAGTCATTTTCCATATTTTTCAGATCGAGGAGTTGGAAAAACAGAGTGGTGATGGCATAGAACACACTTAGCTATTTCACTGAATAGCTGACTGTGTATGGCTCTGTAGTAACAGTACTCAGTCCAAGCTAGAATTTTGAAACCATTAATGAAGATCCTATTAGATCCCATTCTTTCAAAATTTTATTTTGCCAAGTGTAAATTAGAAAAGAAAAATATAGCTTGGACAGCATGTAAAATTGATAGAACCACCAATTTGAAAATCACAAACTATAGTCCAGAAATGTTAAGTATAAGATGTAGGAACATTAAAGGTGTACAATCTCATGTACAGACTCCTATCGTCAGAATACTGAGAGAAAAATAAATTCTCATCTAATGCAGGGAAGTTTTTTAAATTCCACACTAGGAATATCTAGATGATTAAAAGGATCAAATCTTTATGCTCCGAAATGTTGTCACTAAACCAAAACAGTTAATAAAAAATAACTTTCTGAAGAAATAAAATACTAAAATCTAGGAGAGAGTATTTCACTAACATCAGAAGAGAAAGAGGCTAGAACATGGTAAAAAAATTTCTTATAAACCATATTATCAAAAATTTGGGAATGCATTCCACATGAATTGACATGGGAGTCATAAATAGATAATTTCTGATAGAATTAGATTCCTGAGTTTTTCTATAATTATCAGTTGTTATTCATCCAGAGGACAGCAAAAAATTTACTATAAAGAATAGTATTACACCAAACTACAATGAAACATTTAGAACTGAATAAATGTCAGAGTGATGTTGATGTTTATTGAATGACTACCAAGACACTGTTTTCCACACCTAATCATTTTCAAGAGCTGTGGCAGCTCAGCATCAGCAATTTGATGTCACACAACACAGGCTTTAAATCAAATGACTTCAACTCTTAAAAGATTCTCCTGAAAGTACAGTTTATTACTCTCAATGGGAATGTCAAAATACAAAAGTCTGATTCGAAATTAAATATTATTCGCCAATTTTTAAGACTGATAGAACTGAAGAGAATGAAAATCAGTATTTAAATATACTGAGAAAGTAAGAAAATCTTTCACAAACAAGTAACTACATGAATAAGTAAAATTTTATACTGACTCACCTTAGAGGAATTCAAAGAAACAGATGGTTCTCCAGATCCATCTGCAGATCCAGGACAGGGAGGTAGACTGGGGCTGAATGCTATGAGGTCCGATTTGGGTGGGCTCTCCCCAGAGCACAACCTCTGTCTTCTCTGCTGTGAACAGGACCAGCTTCCCACTGTGCTGGAGCACACCAGCATGGGTTTCCCAGGTTCACAGGCACCCTCGGTGGGCACAGCCGAACAACGCAGCACTATGTACAGCACCAGTGTGAGCACCAACAAACTGGACACCGCGCAGATAGCGATGATCAAATACACGTTGACCATCACTAACGATGGTTCTGGAATGTTATCACCGACAGAAGGCCGCGAAAAGGCCTTTGGTGTCTGGCCGCTGTCCACTAGAGAGACAAACACAGTGGCTGTGGCAGTTAACGCTGGCTCACCATGGTCCTTCACCAACACCATAAAGCGCTGTCGCGTCTCATCAGATTCATCGAGGGCCCGCGTCGTACTGATCTCTCCAGTGTACAGTCCCACGCGGAACGGGCTACGCAAGCTACCTGCCCACGACTGCAACTCGTAAGAGAGCCAAGCATTGTAACCAGAATCTGCGTCTACTGCGCGCACTTTCGCCACCACATAACCTGGATCCACAGATCTGAGTACCAATTGAGTCAAAGTTCCATCTGCACTACCCGTTCCACTCCCAAGCAGCGCCGGCACATTGTCGTTCTCATCCAGCACGAACACCTGCAGAGTCACGTTGCTTCCCAGAGCAGGCACACCAGCATCCTGCGCGCTCACCTGGAACTGCAGCAGCTCCAGCTCCTCATGGTCCAGAGGCTGCAGCGCATACACCTTGCCGCTCTCCGCGTGCACAGACACGTAGCTCGACAGTGCGCGCTCGCCCACCCGCCGCTCCACCAGCGAGTAGGACACCAGCGCGTTCTCCTGCGCGTCCGCGTCCACCGCCGACACCGTGAAGATGTGGGCGCCCGGCGGGTTGTTCTCCTTCACGAACACCGTGTATTCGGGCTGCGCGAACGCAGGCGCATTGTCGTTCACGTCAGCCACCTCCACAGACACGCTGGCCGAGGCCCACAGCGAAGGAGAGCCTCCGTCCCTCGCAGTCACCACCAACTCATAGTCAGATGTGGTCTCGCGGTCCAGGGCGCTGTCCAGCACCAGCGAAAAGCGATTCTTGAAGGTGGACACCAGCTTGAAGGGGACGTGGGTCGTCAGGGAGCAGGTCACCTGTCCGTTGACACCTGTATCTAGATCAATCACACTGATCAGGGCAATAACTGTCCCTAGTTGTGTGTCTTCTTTAACCGGGAGCCAGCGTGTTTTGACAGTCAACTGTGGAGCATTGTCATTAGCATCTATAACTTCCACAAGAACTGTACAGTGCCCAACCAATGGTGGGAAGCCCTTATCAACTGCCTCTAATGGAATCTTATAGACTTTACTTTCTTCATAATCAATAAGTCCTATAACTGTAATTTCTCCACTCACAGCATCCATGTGAAACTTGGATTTTATATCTGAAGAAACATCACTAGAAAACGAGTACATAATATCCCCATTCACGCCTTCATCTAAATCTGAGGCATTAACTTTGATAACCAATGTCCCACTGGAAACGTTTTCTGGTAATTTCACTGTGTAGAATGACCTATCAAAAACGGGAGCATTGTCATTGGCATCCAGCACTGTGATGAGTAACTGAACGGTACCAGTCAGCTCTGGTTTGCCTCCGTCCGTGGCCGTGAGCAGTAAATGCAACTCAGGAGAGTCTTCCCTGTCTAAAGGTTTCCGTAACACAAGTCCAAGAGTTTTCAGCCGTTCGTGGTTGGGTGGTACATCCAGCGAGAAATGTTCATTGGGGCTCAGCCTGTAAGTGAGCAGAGCGTTGGTACCGACGTCTGCGTCAGAGGCGCCCTCTAGTGGAAACCGAGAATCAAGCAGCCTGGATTCTGGGATAAACAGATTCTTTTGTGTGGCTGGGAACACAGGCGGGTTGTCATTAATGTCCCTCACCTCCACCTCCACATGGAAAACCTGCAGCGGCCTGTCCACGATCACCTCCAGGTGGATGCTACACTCCGCGTTCTGCCCACACAGCTCCTCCCGGTCGATCCGAGAATTCACAAACAAAATACCATTCTGCAGATTTACCTCCAGAAGGTCTCCGAAGCCCTTGGAATCCAACTGAAACAGACCAGGCACCAGCTCCCGCAGCTGCAGTTCAAGATCCTGTGCGATGCGGCCCACGAAGGTGCCGTGTTTGGCCTCCTCTAGGATGGAATAGTGGAGCTGCCCGCTCCCCACTTCCCGAATTGTGACGAGAAGAAGCGAGAGCAGTAGATGCAGGCCCTCCGGGATGGCACTACCTAAACACAGCATTTCAAGCGGTTGATCTTTCCAATTCGCTTAAATTGCCTCAAAATGAAGAAAAACCACCTGATTATCTCAGTTCCGCTCTCCTGTGTTTGCCATTGTTCATCCCAGAATGGAAAAAGAACAGAGCGCCTTTGACTCCTGGAAAAATGATGGCTGTATGCTTCTTGAATCAGAGAATAAGGAGGCCAAGAGCGACATCAGGTGGCGCAGAGTAAGTAGTATTCCATGAAAAAATGCTGCACCATTTACTTGCAAAACTTTATTTCATTCTCTGAATATTATCATTGTTGAAAGAGAAAACCATCTTTTTCTTCCTGGAGGTATTCTAACAGGACTGACCTCTAAAACTATGGCATGCCCATAATTAGAACTCTTTCATGCCTACAAGTCTCCACATAATTTAAAAATAATAATGAAAATGAAGTGTAATAAAATGATGTTATACAACCATAAATTTTAAATTGGAAAATTATTTTGTTCTGTAACTCAGAATCATTCATATCTCAAATTTAGAATCCTGATGTAATGAACAACTCCACAACTCACAATGCCTAGTGAAGGTAGGAACCAAAAGAAACTTTTTCATGCTTGAAGAAAGGAATCAGGAAAAATAATTGAAGATGAATAAAGTACTTTAAAAACAGAATTTAGTTTAATATCTTTCAT